GTTTTTTTTGTTTTGCCGGTGCCACTTCTTCTGGTGTATCTTCATCCTTTTTATCACAACTTCTTTCATTTATGTCAATAAGTTCGCCTGAACTTAGTTCCCTAAGTTCAAATCACATAGTGATTTGTGAACTGAAGAGCTAGCAGTGAAATTTGTTCTTTATGCAGTTACAATTAATATACTGAATGTTAATAAGATTAATAAGCTGAATATTATACAATTAATATATATAATATGCAATTAATATACCGGTGACTGAAATTTGAACCGTGTTATTATAAAGATATATCAATCTATCATGGATTGTTGTAATTTAACTAAATCCTGCTAGCTGAAATTCCTGCATATCAAAACTGCAAGGTGAGGACTCTCTGGACTCTCAGTGCACTCAATGCTGCATTATTATCTGTTACCTCATCTTTTTTTTTTGCCCTACTGAATTATGAAGTCCTTTCAAAAGGTGTGCAAAGAGGAGAAATAATAAACCAAATACAGAAGCAATCTTGGGATAAAGATTCTTTCTCATAGAGCTGAGAAAGAAATTCTTCTTATCAAGACTAGGTTGTTGGTATTATAATTATAGGTTGGGGAGGGGAAATTTTCTCTTACCATAGTTTAAGATAATGCTTTTTCCAGAGAAATTCATAATCTTACTATTTGCAAATGATTTGTAATTGCTCAGTGCTGTGCTGTCAGTCAAAATTTGAATGTACGAGTAATTAGCATATCAGCACTTGCTGTGATACAATATATATGTTGTATGGAAGCTGAATACTCTTGAAAACATTTAGCACATCTATTAATTCTACTGTAGTTTTTAAAATTTATTATACATCATACACTGGGAGACAGTTTGACTTTTTATGTTGGGTTCACGTTTCTATTTTAGAAGTACTACACATTGGAAAATTTTGATTCTAATTTTTACTTGATATAATTTTCTTCTATATGTTAACCTATTTAATATAAGATGTAACAATTTTATAGTTACACCATTTAAGTTGGGAAAGTAAAACTGTTCTCGTAGACAATCATAGGTTTCATCCATGTTCTCTGATAACAGCAGTCTATGTGACTTGCCTGACCTGGTGCCAGCTTTTGCTTGTTTTTAGTTTTTGCTATGGTACATTATGATAAAAATCCAGGGCTTTTCTCAGCTCAGCAGCTAACTAGCTGAACACCTTCTCACTTAGTTTTGGGTTTCAGTGTCCTCATCTTCAGTGTCTTCATCTAAAATGAAGAATGATACTAGCTTCACAAGTTTTTTTTGAGGACAGACTAAGCTAAGATATATGAAAGCACTTTGTAAACTGCAGATCACTGTGTACGTGTAAAGTTTAAATACTTAATTTTTGAAATTACTTTTACTACTGTTTTACTACCATCAGTATTTTAATATTTGGGTCTTTTACATTGATATATCTTTTTTTTCCTGAGATGTGCCTACACTGAAAATAGTTAACTTGGATCCTGTTCTTGATCTGCCGTATTGAATCTAAGAATTTGAACTCAAATATTTATGATTTATATTTCCATAAAAGATATGTCTAGGCCTATATCTCCTTCAAAGGCAGCATTTCACATACAGAAACAAACCTATTGGGTACATAAAATAGATGCTGGCATCACTTCTTGAGACCTTAGAGTGTACAGGATGGAGTTGCAGAAGCTTTTCAAATAGGGCCTCTAACTCCATAAGGTTGGAGGAATGTCCATGAACTAAGAAACAGTAAGGAGAACTCATCCCCACTCCACGCACCCCCTCCCCCACTCCCGAATGTTTCTCTGAAAGTGGCCATTCACATAGATTTTAATAAAGTAAAAGGAAGGAAAATAGAGGGCTGCTCCTACAATCAAAACTAAGGAGGTGGAAATTGTGTTTACTAAGGATCATAAATCATTAATGCCTTTAGCATTATTTCATTTCATTTATCTAATCCTTTTTGAAATAAGTTGAGGCAGATTTTTTTTTTTAATTACAGTTTTCGCCTCTGTAACAGGGAAGCTAGCTGCAGCTCTTGAACAGCTATTGAATTATTGAATATTACATCTTTAACACTTATTTATAGTCAACTCAGAGAACATTTACTGGAGCCTGCTATAGATAATATATATCCCTAAACTTAAGAAGCTCCCAGTTTAAGGACCAAGAAGTCCCAGTTTGTGGTTGTCCTTTTTAAAAAAAAATACTCATAAAGTTGTATTTTGTTCGCATTTTTACATAAAATGAAGTATCTCTTTCATATTTGGGTAATTTTGTGGACTAAACTGTGGCTTGATAATGAAATGCCTCATGACATTAATTTTGTTCTTTCCTAGCCTCTTGTTGCTGTACCACATAGAATTCACTCAACAAGTAGGAACATTAGAGAAGAAAAAACACGCTCAGAGATAAACTGTAAGTATATACACAGTTCATAATTTAACATTGAAAAATAGGATTTCAAGCTGTAATTTTGTTACAACGTTTTTGCTTCATTTTCTTCCAAGCAGTTTTTCTTTTTAAAGATTTTTTATTGGGGAATTGGGGGATGGGAACAGTGCTGGGGAATTGGGGGAAGGGGAACAGACAAGTTGCTGTCCTTTTGT